GTGACTGCCTGGAGGGCCCTTAATGATGGAATTCCAAGTTCTGGACCGAGGGCTGCTGAGACGTCTCTGGATGGGGGTTGCTGGGGCCCCATGCACTGGGGTTGAATCGGGGCTGTCTGGGTTGTGGTGGAGAAGAAGAGACAGACCTATGGGACCACATCAGCGCCGGACTTCATCCTTGGTGTCCCGCTGAGCCTGGGCGGTGGTCCTTCGGAGACGGGCAGGCTCAGCCATTGGAGTCCACGTAAGCAGGGACTGTCTGAGCCTGCAGGTGCCAGGGGCGTGGCCCTCCCTTGATCCATGCAGCGTCTGCTTTGACTCTGACTCAGAGATCTGGTTCCTGCTCTCCCCGGTGGGCGGTCAGGGTCACCGTGTCCCTAAGAAACATGGTCCTCAGATTTGGAGGTTGTCGAGGTAATGCGCTTGGAGTCCTTGGGAATGAGGCGCGTGCCTGCACTTCTGGGGGGGTAAGAGCACAGACCCAGCCGGACCCTGTCCTCCCTCCTGCCGTACAAAGCTTTTAGCATATTTCGGGTTTCCATAGGCATGCCGTCTTGAGCTTCTTCCTAGTTTCCTAATGACCCCCACTGATCTGACCTCCGACCTTGTGAAGGTGTGTGGTGGCCATCCCCGATGGCTGGACTCTACGTGGCCTCTCCAGACCCTTGTGGTCGGGCATGCTAGGGCGGGGTTGGCCTCCTCGAGTGCGGGGGCTGGGGCGGGCTCCTGTAGACCCGTGAGCGTGGAGCCCACGCTGTGGCCACTTCCGGGGGCATTTCATCCTTACTGAGCGGGTGGCACAGGCACCTGTGCTCTGGCCATGAGGTCTGTGCCACCACGTGCAGGGGTGGGACCCACAATGCCCCTTTTGGTCAGGGGCGAGTGTGACAGCCTCACGGTGGGCGGTGGGCAGTGACAGACTGTGGGCCACGGCCACACATGGGTTTGCGGGGGCCCCCCCATCCCGAGAGAGCCCGGTCAGCCTCGGGGGTCCTGCAGACACAGCGGTCAGGGAAGGGAGGCTCCGTGTCCTCCCTGCGAGGGTGCCTTTGCCCGGAAGCCCACTCGTGGGTGGGAGGGCCACGGGCGGAGCTCGCGAAGGGCTGAGCCTTCCCCGACCGACAGTGGTGGCCGGCACGGCATCCAACGCCTGCAGGGGTACCCAAGTCCCACGAAGCATTGAGGGGGGGACACATTCTCATGCCTCATAGCTCCCATGAGCCGTGCCTGGGGGTTTGGGAAGACTCTGGTTTTTCTGGGGGATTGTATTTTGGGATGGGCGGGTGTCCTTCCGGCTTTGAGGGTGGCTGCCCCGGCCCTTCTGTTCACGTGTAGTCTGGACGTCTGAAGGCTCCTTCCCGTGACGGAGGAATGGCAGAGCGGAAGCGGGGCAGGGTGCTGGGACAGGGAGGGGATGAAGCACAGGCTCCCCAGGCAGGTGGTAGGCTGGTCACCCCGTCCCAGATCCCAAAGGGGGGACACCTGGGTGCCCTCCCTTCCCTTTCCCTATGTGATACAGGCTCCCGTTAGGCTGATAACAAAGGGGCTACCAAGCTCTAAGCACCTGCTGTGGGGTCTCTCTGCCTTGCCAGGGACGAACGTGCAGACCCTCAGGCCCAGGCCTGGATCGAGTGTTTCCAGGCTCAGGGACAGTGTCCTACGTTGTCCCCAGGAGCGGAGGGGCGGCTGTCCCATGCAGGAGGGGCTGTTCCGGCTGAACAGGAAGGGAAGTAGAGGGAAGCCTAGGGCTGCTTCCACTGAGAGCTCCCGGTGAGGCTGAAGGGCAGGCATGTGTGTGAGGCTGGGCCAGGGGTTCAGAGGAGACCCTGGTGGCAGACAGGAGGCCGGCTGGCCGAGGGTGTCCACGTACCAGGACAGGGGCCGGGGCTGCCTGTGTTCCTCTGGTGTTCGCTCCTGTGACGGCCGGTCCTGCCCCTGCCCCCTTGTCCTGCTGCTCCCTCCCTCAGGGGCCGTAACCCTGGGGTCGCATCCGAAGCGTTTGCTACTGCCTGGCCTGCCTTCTCCGATGCTCCCCTCACCCACGGCCCCGTCCCAGCCTGGGCCCCTCCTTTGCCTGCTGCTCCTGCTCTGTTCCCCCGTGTTCCGTCCCAGCAGGGACCACAAAGCCTCCCATCCTCAACCGGCTGGCCTGGAGCCTCTCCCTCCCCCGCCTGGAGGAGAACAAGAGTCAGCCTTGGTGCACATGATACGGCCACAGGCTCCCCGGCACCTGGCCTGCTGGCCTGTAGAACTGAGTCGCTGCTGGGCCCTGGCATCAGGAATGCCCGCCTGCAGGACTTGCCAGAGCCTGCTCTCCCGCCACCACACCGGGTGAGCTGGCAGCACGGGGATGCCTGTGGGATGTGCTGGGCGGTGGACAGCGATGACCAGGGCATGGGGGATGGCTGGTTAGGAGGAGATGGGGTCAGGTGGTGACCTTGAATGTGGACCGTGTGGAGCTGTGGCTGGACATCACCCGGTCACAGCGGCTCTGGGGAGATGCAGCTGGCGCAGGGCAAAGGGCAATGGAAGGCAGGCGACGAACGGGACTGGGATTCGGAAGGGTCCTGGGTGGGGCTGGCGCCCCAGATAGCCTTCCATTCCCTCTCGACATCGGTGACCCGAGTGCCCCTCCCAGTGCCAGGTGCCAGGGGCACAGGAGGCACTAGTCAAGGCAGGCGGGACCTGGGGGAAGGGGTGACAGGGGTCCCCAGAGAGACTCCTGCTGTGGTATCAGGATGGAGGGTCAGAGAAGGTCCCTAAGCTGAGAGCCGTGTGCTGTGAAGGGCAGCCCTTCCTGGGAGCGGCCCCTGGTGGCTGGGGTAGCGTGGAGCCGCGTTGAGCTGAGTGGTGTGGTGGGTGAGCAGGGCTCAGAGGCCACCTCTATGTGGTGGGAAATCCCGAGAGCCTGAAGCAGGGCGCAAGGCCACCCTCAGAGCACAGCAGTGGGGACGAGCTGCGGTGGCCAGGCCACGGGGCAGGGAGAAGCGGCAGCTGTCCCCAGAGGTAGAACCTATCACACTCGCGGATAGTGTTTGGAAGTGGGGGTTGAGGGAGGACAGAGGCAAAGTCACAGACCTGGAAGCCAGAGGCAGGTGGCAGATGGGGGAAGGTGCGCTTGAGGCGATCTAGAACTGCTTCTGAAGGGGAGGGTGGCACATGTCACTGGCTTGAGGAGCAAAGGTTGCTGGCAATGGCCATATCTGAGCAGAAGCAGGGAAGACAGGGCGGGGCTCCGGAGGGACAGGTGGGTGCGGTGCTCAGAAGGGGCTGGGCTGGAGGGAGATGCAGGGGCAACAAAATCCATGTGCCCCCCTCCCTCGCCCCCCAGGGAGAGTATGTCTAAGGAGAGCTTCTAGGGAGGGCCCTGAGAGCCTCGAACCCCCTAGTTAGAAAGGCAGCGGGTTTGGGAGGTGTGGCCTGGGAGCAGGGAGCACTGGGTTTCCTGGAGAGGGGCTAAAGGCCTGAGCTGCCCCTGGGACGGTGTGGGGGTAGGGGAGATGGAGGGGACTCAAGGGGGTGGCATGGGCACGGGTGGTGTCTGCAGGGGGTGGGAAACGGGGTCTGAGAAGGAGGTGATGTAACCTAGGACCCCTGTGCAGGAACCTTAATGAGGTGCGTAGCGCTGCCTCCCAGCGGCCTCCTGAGGCCTGGGTGGGGGCATGGGCTGCAGGGCCCGGGACCTCCCTGGTGACAGAGGTCAGCCCAGACCCAGTCCTAGGCTGGAATAGGAATCACGGGGTGTTCTTGCCCCCTGAAGGGGCTTTGGGATGGCTGCACACCCGCTCGCCTCCCCCGTAGGCAGGGGGACCGAGGCCCTTCTGTGTGCGGCCCTCCCCTTCAGTCTCTGTGCCCTCCTCCCACAGCCCACGCAGTTCCCTTTCGGCCCCTGTTGGTTCATCAGGAGTCCTATCCCTGATGCTCCCAGCACCCCTTCAGATATTTTATTGTAGTTTATGTTCAGTAAAGTTCACTTGCATTAAATTTCTACTGACAGTATGTGTGGACATCGGTGACGTCTGCTTTCATCCGGGGGTCTGAGGCCTCCTGAAATGTCCATGCAGACTCGTGCAGGACAAGGCAAAGGGGCAGGGCTGAGCGTCAGCGGGCTTCCTCCGCCCCGGCCTCAGGTGGCAGAGGCCAGGGCATCTCGGCTCCCTTGGGACCCTCCCTCGACTGACTTCCCCAGAACGGGCTCTGGTGTCAGACAGGCAGGGGCCTGTGGCTGATCTTGTCCAAACATGGGCCCATGACCCCACAAGGACTGGGTGGGAGAAAGATGTGCCTTGAGCAGGGAGAGCAAGCCGGAGCGGCTGGTGGGAAGTTGATCGTGGGCTGTGGGGGTGTGTGTGGAACGTTCTGCTTCTTCAGGCGAAACTGGGAGGACGGATGGGTGCTTTCTAGCAGAGGCAGCTGGCTGCAGGGTGAGAACATGGCTGGACTCAGCTGGGGTGTGGCCACCCAGGTCCTGTGGTAAACAGCGGGACAGATTGGGGTGGGAGATCGCCCTGGAGCCCCTACAGGTGCCATGCTATGCCCAGCTCAGGATTTGGCTCCCGCTGGCCCCAGTGCATGCTGTGGGACCCCGTGCCCCCTTCCCTGCCCACCGAGTCCTCTGGTGCCTGCTGGATGCCTGTGTCCCTTCCCTCCCCACGAGCCTTGGCAAACACAGGGCTTCCTCCTCCCCTGCTGGCTGGCCAGTCCGAAGTCCTTCCCTTCGGTATCTGGTGGCCAACCGCGAGCTGCCGGTAGCGCCCTGGAAGGCAGCAGAGGGCGGGGAAGGTCAGGGCGTGGCCCCCAGTTCCCCAGGCGGGTCCACAGCGGCCTGCAGGGCTGCGACCACCAGGATGTGCTGTGGCGTCCCGGGACTGGGGTTCGGCTCCGCTCTGGGGCCACTGAGCACGAGACCCCGGCGGTGACCCGGGCGCCCGGTGATGGCCCGTGCGTCTCCCGCCCCGGGGCCCGCGCGCAGAGAACCAGGCCGCGCACCGCCGCGCTCGTCAGGCTGAACCTCTTTATTAGGCGCCGCGGTGCCGGCTGTAGTGTGGCGGCGGCTCAGGGCCCGTGCTCCGCCGCGTGCGAGGCGCAGTAGTACTTCTTGTGCGCGATGAAGGTGGACAGGCTGCTGAAGCGGATGTTGCACAGGCGGCAGTACCGCTGGCCGCCCGGCGCCGCCTTGCCCGGGGTCTGCACGCCCTTGTCCGCGCGGAGCGGCGGCGGCGTCGGCGGGCGCGGCGGCCCCGCGTCGGGGCCCGGGGAGGGCGGCGGCGGGCCGGGCCGGGGGCTGCCGTCGGGCGCGCCGGGGCCCGGCTCCCGGGGCTCCCGGCCGTTGAGACCGTCGCGGGGGGCGGCGGGCGAGGGCGTCCGGGCGCTGGCGGGGGGCTGGGCCAGCAGCAGGCCGTGCGCCAGGCGGAGGTGCTCCACGAGGTCGCCGCGCACCGGCCCGTCGGGCGGGCAGTAGGGGCACACGACGGCCACGTCCTCGGGGGCGGCGCGCAGGCGGCGCGGGGCCGCGGGGCACGAGAACTTCTTGTGCGCCAGGTAGGCCTCGAGGCTGTGGAAGCTCACGCGGCAGGCCGTGCACTCGTGGTAGTCGGCCAGCGCGGGCAGGGCCGCGGGCAGGGCCGCCTGCCGCCGCGGCTTCTTGCTCAGGTCGATGGGGCCGTCGGCGGGGTCGAGCCCACCGCTTCCGGGCCGGGGCGACTGTGACTGCGACGACGACGACGACGACGACGACGACGCGGGCGGCTCGGGGGCGGGGCCGGCGGCGGGGGGCGGGGCCGCGCCGGCCGCGTGTAGCTCGTACAGCTTGCGGCGCCTGCGCGTGCGCACGGGAGGCGCGGCGGGCGCGGCGGGCGCGGGGGTCCCGGGCGTCCCGGCGGGCGCGGGCCGGCGCGGCGGCGGGTCGTGGCGCGAGGCACAGTAGTAGCGCTTGTGCACCGTGTAGGTCTCGTGCCGGCTAAAGTGGATGTTGCAGGCCTCGCACAGCGTCCGGCGGGGGTCGTCGTCCTCGTCCGCCCCGCTGCCCGGGCTCGGGCTGCCCCGGCTGCCCCCCTCCGCCTCGGGCTCGGCCTCGGGGGTGGGCGCGCCGCCCGCCTCGTCCTCGCGCGTCCCGGAGCGTGGCGACGCACGTCCCGCGTCGGCGTCTGCGGGCGGGGGGCCGGGGGGCGCGCGGGCGGGGGCCGGGGGCGCCTTGGGCCTGCGCGCGGGGGCCGCGTCGTCGGGCGCGCGGCGGCCGGAGCAGTAGAGGCGCTTGTGCACGTAGAAGTTGTTGACGTTGTTGAAGGTGATGTCGCACTCGAAGCACGTGGCGCCCTTGGGGGCCCCCGCGAAGAGCCCGGCCTGCGCCCCCGCGCCCGCCTGCAGCCGGCTGTGCACCAGCTCGGACATCTTGGCCAGGATCTCGGAGGCCGGCGGCGCCGCGGCAAACTGCGGCAGGAAGAGCGTGCCGGCCGCCAGCCCCAGCTCGCCCGGGCCAGGGCTGCAATCCGGCGTGGGGCTGGACAGCTCGGCTTTCACTCTGGCCGCCGCGGGGCTGGGCGGGGACGGTGTCCGCGATGCGGCCGGGGGCCCTGGCTCCGCCTTGGGCTCTTCGGTGGCAGCCTCGGTCTTGATGGCCCGGGGCGCTGCGGGGGGCTCGCTGTTGCCCCCGTTCTGGGGGGCGGCTCTGGCCTCTCCATTGGTGGTCTCCACCGGCGCCTTCCTGTCCAGTCCTGGCGATGGGGTGGGCGCCAGACCGAGGTCGGCAGAAGCCAGGGGGCCGTGCAGGGCCGTGGGCTGCTGGAAGCTGGCCAGACTGTCTGCGGGGAGACCCCAGGGGCCACACTTCAGGGCTGGAGCAGGACCTACCTGGGCCAGACCTGAGGGGGAGGGCAGGAAGGGGACAGCTGGACTGGGCAGAGGTGGTGGAGGGCCAAGATGGAAATTTACCCCTGGCAGCCATGAGGACCAGCCCCATCCCTGCCCAGTCCTCATGGGGAGCCCAGGGCCTCACCTGGGGGGAGCTTGGCAGCGGGGTGCCCGGCCCCTGGTGAGAAGATCTCAGCCTTGGAGCCCGGCTGGCAGACCATGTGGTTGGTCACCAGGTGGCTGTAGAGGATGTCCCTTGTGGTGGAGATGAAGCCACAGCTGTGGCAGGCACCTGCAGGCAGGCTGTGCTATCAGGGCCCTGGGGCAGGGTGCCCCCCCACCCCCGTCCCCTTCCCGGCCCCCACCTACCGCTCAGCGTGTCTGTGTGCACCTTCAGGTGCCTCTCACAGTTGGCCTTGGTGGTGAAGGCCGACAGGCAGATCAGACAGATGAAGGGCCGTTCTCCTGGAACACAGGGCTGAGTGAGGGGTGGGCTCCTGGAGCCCAGCTGGCCAAGGACCTGTGACATGGGGCGGGGGGTGGGGGGTGTCTGTGTGAACTCTGCCTTCTCTGCCCCTTGTCTCCTGGGACTGCGGCAAGGGCCCGGCCCCGAGCTGACCCTTCTGATGAGCACAGGTGGGCCATGTGCTGCGGGAGCACTGGGGTGCGATGGGAGGACCACACAGGCCTGTGTGTGGCAGGGCGGGCAGCTGGGGGCCGGAGGGGGCAGAAATGCATTGCTTGGGGGCGCGCGCACGCCCTGTTGCGGACAGCGGGGGTCCTGGGGAGGGGCTCACCGCTGTGGCTGCGCATGTGGATCTCCAGGGAGCTGGCGCTGGGACAGCTCTTGCGGCACTGGGGAAAGGGGCAGACACGCTCGTTGGGGTAGGTCTCCTTGGGCTTGTCGTCGGCAGCTGCCGTCGCGGCACCGGTGCCCTGGCGGCTGGCACAGTAGTACAGCAGGTGGGCTTGCAGGTTTCTCTCGCTGCGGTACCAGATGCCACAGTCTTTGCAGGGGAAGACATCTTCTGTCGGGGGAGAGGTGGGCGCAGGCTGAGGGGCCCCTGCACCGTAGCGGGGGGGCTGCCCACAACTCAAGGCCAGGCAGTGAGACTCCAGATACGGACGGCTTTGTGCGTGGGGCCTCTGACATCCCGAGGACTGAGATGCAGGAATGAGGGGGCAGGGGGGCCTCCCTCCTGGTCACTGCCGCTCACGCTCTGTCCCTTGAGAACACGGGTTCTCTTTCTCTCGTTCTCCAGGATGCCATAGGACCGCATGGATGGGGGTCTCTGAGTAACCCCCCCGCAGGCTGGCCCCCATGCTGCCTCCCAACCATAAGCCCCCCCCACAGAGAGATGCCAGAGCCTCTGTGGGGGCCAGTGGGAGGGGTGTGGCCGTGCCCGCAGACCCCCGATGGAGGGAGGCTGGACGGCTGCCATGTTGCGCGTGTGACTCGGCGGGGGTGGCCACATGTTGGTGAGGGAAGGCAGGTACCTGCCGGTGCTGGTGTGCTGTGAGCAGGTAGAAGGGCGGGCACGGACCTGGGCCCCTGTGGAGGAGACACTGCGTGTGCGCAAGGGAGCCAGTCGGAGTGGCCAGGTGCGCAGGACACCCGTGAAGCACGTGGGCAGGTGGACGAGAGCAGAGCGTGGCTCTGGGCGGCCTCGAGTGGGGAGACTGGGGGCTGCGGAGGAAGAGGAGCCCTCCCCCTCTCAACTCTCCCCCCAGTGGTTTCACATCAGCTACCGATGGGTCAGAACTGCTTAATTCTGCATGTTTATCTCAGACAGGAGGCCTGTGACTTTTCGGTTTATAGGCGCTCAGGTGGCAGGGGTGCGGGGTTTTCCCAGCTGGTGCAGGTTTCTTTCGTGGGTGGTTCTTGGGGTCTTTCTGGCAGGGCAGTGAGGAGCGCTGTCCCGCTCCACGGCCCGCCGCCCCTTGGCTGACGACACGGCCGGTGGAGGCCTCATTCTGGCTCCTAGGACGTGTCCAGGCTCTAGTGCAGCTTAGGACCTGGTTCTCACGCCGGCATCAGATGCATCCCAGGTCCCCAGTTACGGCAGAGGGGACCCTTCTCCTCCCTCTCGTGTTCCTCTGATTTGGGGGCCTCAGGGCAGCTCTGTTGGCTGAGGCGCTGAGCTCGAACTGTAACCTGAAAGCACCTGGTGGGCTTGTTTCTGTCCCTGTAGGGCCGGGGCGGGGCCTCAGATGCCCGCTCAAGCCCTGGACATAGGCCTGAGGTGTAGCGAGGACAGTCATGGTCCCCCTGCCCCAGGGCTGACCCGGGCCAAGTCCCGCTGGTGCGTGCGGGCGACCCGCACAGATGCCCGTGTTACTATGATCCCACTGCGCAGGTGAGAAGACGGAGGCCCAGGGAGGTTGGGTCTGACTTAAACCAGGTATGGTGGGCTCTGTACGGAAGCTTTTCTAGCGCTCAAGGCGGAGGCGGGTGCTGGGGGGAAGGGAATAGGGTATGTAAGGGGTGTAGCCTGCGATGGCAACGGTCCTGCTGTTTCTGGGTGAGGTGTGGACACCAAAGCGTCAGACCCAAGGGGGGAGGCTGTCCCAGCACCTCGGACTCCCTTGGCCCCCTCCGAGCAGCCAGGACAGAGGACGGGGCCAGGGGGTGAGGCTGGCTCAGTGCTGGGGGCTGGACAGACCTTGCTGGGTCACCCTGGGCATTTCTGCTCCTGGCGGCTGTGGTGAGCTGGCCGTCCCGGGTCCGGAGAGCCCCTTCCAGTCTCCCTCCCCTGCAAAGGTTCTACCTGCTCAGCACCCCCTCGGTCCCCTGCGCCCAGTCCCCCCAGAGGACCTGTGCTCTCCCTGGAGGGCTCTGGGGGTGAATATCCACCGGCAGCCCGTCCCTCCCCCCACGTCATTTCCACCAGCCCACAGGTGCACATGGGCATCGCCCGAGTCTGAGCGACGCAAGCCACGTCCCCTCCACACCCTCCCTCCTGCTCACTCAGCTCCGTGGTCCTTTCTCTGCCCTGGGTATCTCCAAAGCCAGGACTCCGTGCTCCCCCACTGCCCTCAGGTGCCGCCTCCGGGGCTGCCCGTTGGTGGAGGTCATGGTGCTCAGTGTGAGACACGGCAGGTCCCCGTCCAGCCTGTGCTGCAAGCCCGCCTCGTGTGGGGCTTCTCCGTCACTTCTTTCCCGTCCTGCGGCCCTGCAGTTGCCACCCCGCATGGCCAGGGGATCTCGGCCACGAGAGCGGACTCTGCCCGAGTGCCTGAGAGGCTCCAAGAGGAAATGCGGGCCCTCGCCTGGCACCACGCTGGTAGAACCACGTTGCTGGCTTAGGCCCAAGTGCTCCGAATAAAGTTGGCCACTGCCATCCTCTGGTCGTGCCCCCGCTTTGTGAGCTGTGCCGTGCGGGGAGCCGGCCGGGCAACCCTGGAGCCTGGACCCCTTGGTTCGTGTGTTTGGAGCACAGAGGAAACCCTACTCTATGTGCAGCCGTGGTCCGACCCTGAGCATCCCTGCAGGGAGTGAGCGAGTCTCTCACCCGGGTGTTCTCATGGGGTGGCTCTGCCCCAGGGGATGCCAGGCCGTGTAGTGACGCTTGTGGACACGGCCCTGGCCTCTGCCGGGGTGGGAGCCAGGCTGCTGCTCTGCACCCCACCATGGACCTGTAACCCACTCCTTGCCCAGCTGGCAGGGGCAGAGCAGGTGGGGCCCGGGGGCCCTGTGGGGACTGCCATTGCCTGGGGCCTGCCCCGACCCCACACTCATCGGCGGCAGCTTGGCCTCCGCTGCTCAGGTCTCAGTGCTCAGCCCTGGAGCCTAGGGGGCACGCGTCCTGTACTCACTGTTGATGACCGCTGTGGCCAGGATGGACGCCATGCCGGCCTGCTGCGGCAGGAGCTGGATGTCGGCGGGGGCGGGGCCCCCGGGCTCTGCTGGCTTCTTCACAGTGTGGCTGGGGGGGCCCCCGGGCTCGACCGCCATGAGCAGCACGCTCAGCTGTCCGCCAGCGGGCACCGGCTTGGTGAGTCTGCACCAGAGGGCTTCATCTGTGGGGGCGAAAGCCTTGGTGACGGGAGGGCTGCGGGCGGCTCACCCTCCGGTTCCGAGCCCCTCTGCATCGCCCTCTCCTGGAGACCTGGGTTCTGAATGTGGGCGGGGGATGGAGCCAGGCCCCCGGCGGGGTGGAGCACCAGGCCCATGGCTGGGTCAGGCCCGTCTCTGTAATGACCATCCTGCCTCAAGGAGCAACCGCCTCATGGGGGGCCCCGAGGGGCGCCCGCATGGCTGCCCTGGTGTCCAGGAGAGCGGTGGCCTGGGGGACAGGCAGCAGAGCCCGGTGCCCCACGGGCCCTCCCCTCCCCACTGCTCCCCTGAGAGCTGTCGTTCCCGTGGTGGCCGGCAGGGGGCAGCTCCAGCCAACCTCCCAGGCACCCGCCTGCCCACCGCCGGCTCCGGCTTGAGGCCACCAGGAACCCCACACCCGGAGCTGCAGCCCTGCCCCCCACCTCCCAGCCCAAACTCACGCCTGTCCTCTGTGAGGACCTTGTCCTGCCTGGCAGACGGGGGCTGGAGCCCTGCTGACCGGGGTGGGAGGGGCAGGCCACGCAGCACTAACTGGCCGGCGTCCTGGCCGGGTTAACACACCCGGGGCTGATGGCGCGTCCAAGCACCCTTCGTGGGTGGGGGCTGGGGTCCTCCCCCACCCAGCAGGGCACAGAGAAGTGTAGTGTGGCCAGGTTCCCACCTCCAGCAAGCCAAGGAGTCTCCTGGGGGGAACTGAGCCAGAGAGGGGGCTGCCCGTAAGGCCCGCCGGGCTGGGCACGTGCCCCTGGCCTGCCCCGGACGGCCTCTGGCTCCCTCTGGAAATGAGAGCTGCCCATGGGATGGAGCTTGTCTCCTCTAGGAACACGCCGCGAATGCACCGTGTGTGGGGGGGCAACTTGGCCATGCTACCCCCACCCCAGAAATATTCCAGCAAAGCAGAACCCCCCACAGGGGAACGAGGTCACCTCCTGTGGTCGCAGGGCACACACCCTCCCGCCGGCTGTTGGCCGAACCTGGTGTGGCTGCAGAAACTGCCCTGTACTGTCCTGACGTCATCCCCTTGGGGACGGAGGAGGCCCCCGCCTCACATCTGAGTGGCCTGAGCTCTCGGAACTGAACAGTGTGTGTCGGGGTGGGGGGGTCCTTCCCCTCCTCCCTCCAGAGCCACTCCTTCTAGAAGGTGCAGGGAGGCAAGGGCAGAAACAGGCCCCAAAAGGCCAGGGCATGTGGCCTAGGCCTCACTGGCTGGGTCTGAATGTGGCCCTCCTGCCCCTCCCGGAGCACGGCGGACTGCACAGGACCATGGTCTAGCAGACACTCGGCCCCTGGGCCTGGGATTCTCTGCTGACCCTGGTGGTCTGCTAGAGACCCGGGGAGAGCAGCAGCATGCCAGCCCCCCGAGACCCTGGGGCTGACCTCCTCCATCAGGGCGCCCCAAGGCCTGGCCCTAGCTCACCTACTCTGCTGGGGCCAGCAGGCTGCTGTCCCTTTAAGGGCAGCTGAGTGGCCCCCACCCCACCTGCCGGAAGGCCGCGAGGGAGGCGCCATGACACCAACCCTTCCTGTAGATCTCCGTGTTGGCTTCGGCCTCGGTCAGGGCCTGAGGCAGCAACCGCAGCCAGCAGTGCTCGTCCTCCAGCAGCAGCGTCCGGGCAGGGCCCTGGGGGAGAGGAAGGGGACTCATCAAGGACAGAGCACGGGAAGAGCCCGCTCAGGGGTCCCGCGTGGTGCCGAGGGAAGAGGCTGAGCCCCCGTGGCAGGAAGGCCTCCCACCAGCGCAGCCAGGAGCCGGCCCCTTCCACGCCCGGGGCATTGGGCTTGCTTAGAAACCACGGCCCAGGCAGCCACGGAGCGGGGATTCGCACCCAGATCTGGGCTCTCGCCCTGCCTCCCTGCTCTGGCAGGCTGTGGAGTGCAACAGGGGCCTGTGGGGGCATGGGCCAGATCGAGCATGGGCTCCCCCCACACTGGCCCCCAAAGTGAGCTAGGTCTGGGAGCTGAGGCTGAGAGGGGCCTTAAGGAGAGGGTGTCTCCCTAGAGAGGGGCTCCTCTGTCCTGTCTGTCCTGAGGCCAGCACACGGCTGACACTAGAATATCGTCCTGGACCCAGAGCTGAGGTCCCCATGCCGAGGCTGGCTCAGCCTCCCTGAGGCTCCCAGAGATGGCCATCCATGTGTGGGCTCAGCCCTTCTCCCACCTCGAGGAGAGGGAAGGGAGGTGGGGAGAAGGGGGAAACAGGGGCGAGGCTCACACCAGTACCACCTCGCCCGGCCATGTCCTCTCCCTGGCTCGGTCTACAAGCCTGAAAGACAAGAGTGCTCTGGGCTCAGCCCCTGAGGCTGCTACTGGGGCCTGCAGAGTGGGGGCGGGGGGTCCCTGACTCTTGACACCCAGGGCCACCCCAGCAGGAGAGGAGGCATACAGAGCCTGGTGCTGGGGAGGGAGAGCTGCCTGCGGTCCCACTCCACAGCCCGGCCCCTCATCGGGGTGAGGAGACCAGCACGGGTCTGGGGAAGGCTCCAGGAGGGACAGAACCCTGGGCTTGCTTTGCCCTAGGAGGTCAGGGTGACTGCTGCCACACCCGGGCCCTCTGCCCCAGTGCCGGACCTGGGACTGGGCTGGCTTCGCTGAACAGGGGAGCCCAAGCTCCACCCCCAGGCACCGTGGGCAAAGGCACAGCACGCACCCACTTTGGGGTACATTTGTTTTATGCAAACAAGTGCATTTTATTCGGAAGTGGTGCACGGGGACCGTGTACTGGAAAACCAGTCTCACCTGGAAACGCTGCCTCCCAGGCTGAGTGGCTCTGTGCACCCCAGGGGCCCATGCAGCCGCCAGCTGGGATACCCCCACGGTGGGACAGTGTCCTCAGATTCGGGGCATCTCCCTGCCAGGCACAAGCGCAGGTACTTCCCTGGGCTCTGGGGTCCAGTCCAGGCGTGGCACCCCCGTCCACTCTGCCCGCACCCCCCACCGTGCGGCAGACGCGGGCCCCCAAGCCGAGCATTCCTGCGGAAACTCCCAACAAGGCTGGGGCAGCGTGGCCAGTGGGGTGTGGCCTGGCCATGGAGGCAGAAGCAGTCTACACCCGTGCCTGCCCTCTCTGCACAGGGGCAGTGCCCCTCCTCAGAGCTGTGACCCAAGCCCGGTGCTTGTCACAAACCTGCCATCGTCCTGCCACCGGCTCCCGGCAGTGGGGCTGGGTGGTCAAGGCTGCTTCTCAGCCCTGCCAGGGCACCAGGAAGCACCGATCTGCGCGACACCCTCCTTTCCAGCCGTGCCCACCTGTGCGCACCCAGCACGGAAGACAGGAGCCCCCGCCCCACCCCCTTGCAGCCAGCAGGACACAGCAGACAAGGGCTGCGCATTTGGGCCCAGAAGGCTGCGGTCCGCAGTGGCCACAGGCCAACCCCGGGGAGAGCATCTCCGTCACAGAGCGGCTCTGGGCCGGCCGCAGGCAACACCCTGCTTTTCGTGGACAGTGGGGGACCCTCAGCTGCGGAGCAGGACGCCAGCTGGGGGTCCCGCCGGCTCAGAGGGGCCACCGAGGGGGGCGGGGGAGCGGCCGGGTGGGGCTGCCGCTGCGGTGGGTGACCGGCGGCCCCCACGTCCCAGCTGCGCTGACCGGGCCAGCAGCTCGCAGCAGGGCGGGGCCGGGCCTCCTGAGACTCTAATGAATATTAATGAGCAGAGGAGGGTGAAAAAAATTAATCTGCCTGATTCTCCGATTGGCGCTGTGGTAACGATATGAAATCTAATTATTCGTTCCAATATTTCTAACCCTCAAACTGGGACTGACAGCCTCCCGGTAGGGTTAATGCTTATCACTGGCGCGGGCTGTGTGCTCCCAGCATGATGAAAACGCCGGACGGCTGGCGCTGCACTGCCCGGCTCCCGCGGCCCGCCCGAGCGAAGGCGGCGGCGCCGGGGTCCCTGCCTGTCGGGGCGGCGGGTGGGCCGGGAGGATGGGGCTGGGGGTGGAACGGGCCGGGGCATCTGGGGCTGCCTGACTCGGCCCGTGACCTCTCGATGCCGGGGCCCCCCGCCTGAACGGGGGCGGCCTGGGGACACCACCTTCCCTGGCCTCTCTGCACTCGCGTCCTGGGGCTGCGCGGCCGCCACCCTGGGGAGGGTCTAATGCGGCAGCCCCGCTGTTGGGTCTTCTCTCCTCCCCCCCACCCCCCGTTCCGAGCTCGGTAACAGAAGCCCCTTTCTCTGGTGGCCGAAGGCGCTGGGCCGAGGCAGGCCCTCTTCCCGGCTGACGCTGCGCTGCCCTGCCCGTGGGCAGGGATATGGGGTGCATGGCTGGGAGGGGCTGTCACTCCCCTGCCTGGCCTGTGCTGCCGGCCACCTTCCCTCCAAGGCGCCTCCCGGGTCCCATCCGGGTCTCACTCACCCTGGACAGGCCGTGTCCGGGTTCAGGAAGACACCCCCTTACCTGCCCAGTCTGCAGCCCCGTGGGGTCACACCTGTTCCTCCTGGCCCCAGGACCGCCCCACCCAGCCCCTGAGCTAATGCGCGGCCACTCGAAGTTCCCCAGTGCGGCTGAGATCACTCCTTGTTTCCCCCAACAAGGAGGTCAGTGTCTGGACTCTGTGTCTGCCGATAACCATCGGAAACTCTATCTCTGCCCCATCCTCTGTGACTTTATCGGGGCTGTTCCCAAACCTTGCTGGCCACCTCATAAAGCAGCATCACGGGGGAAAGGGAGGCAGGAGCTCCGTTCAGGTGGGGGAAGGGGGTGGCCCAGCCCGGCGAGCCACAGTGCCCTGCAGAAGGCCAGTGGGGCTGCCCAGGCCTCCCCCGGGCCACTGTGGGGCACGCTCATGGGAGGTCAGGGCTGGGGCAGGCCCGGTCTGGGCTCTGATGGGGCCCTCCTCGCCCTCCCAGAGGCAACTGCCTTTCTGTCCTTGGCTCCTCCTCTCCCCCAGGCTCTGCGGAGAACCTACTATTTCACAGGTGAGGACTGAAGCGCACAGAGTTGTGTGATGCCCGGGGCCACAGGCAGTGGCTATGTGCGTGGGACTAGAAATGGGGTCTGCGTGGTCTTGGTTTCCTTCCTTCCATCTACCATCCATCTACTCATCCATGCTTCCCTCCCTCCATCTACCCTCCATTCACCCCTCCACCACCCACCTATCCGTCTGTCTGTCCGTCCACCTACCCACATATCGATCCATCCCTCCGTCCCTCCCTCCCACTGTCCATCCACTTACCCCTCTACCCACCTGCCCGTCCCTTCCTGCCCCCACCCATCCACCTGTTCTCTGGTCGAACAGTCCCCCAGAGCCTGGTGTGTGCCTGGTGTGGGGGCACCAGGAGCAGAACATGCCGTCCCGATCTCCCAGGCTGACGAGAAACCACAAACGAAGGCTGGAAGCAGAACATGCTGGAGACACAGGCTGAGATGAGCACGCGGTGTGATGGGGTGGGGTGGGGTGGGGCGGGGGCCGTGTGGACGGCTCCTTGTTGCCGCCAGCCCTCTTCCTCGGGTGGCCCTTGGGCTCAGGGATGGAGCCAGCTGTGAGGGCGGGTCTGGTGCCCATGGCGGTCCTGGCTGCAGGAGAGACCTCTCCCACCCACCGCTCAGCTCAGGTCTTCCCCGTGCGGCGGGGGGTGTCCCGTGGTCCCTGAGACCAGGCGGTTCCTGCTCCTGGGCCTCCAGGAGGCCAGTCTGAGTCGACCCTTTGCGCCCACAGCCTCTCCCAGACCCTCTCCTCCAGCTGCAGGCAGAGAGGCTGAGGCGTGGGGGGAGGGAGTCAGGGACCCAGAAAGCCAGCGGCAGGCTGTCTGCCTCAGAGCACCCCGCACTGCCCCTCCTCGTCGCCCTGGCGCTCTGGCCAAGCCTGACCGTCTGTCTCCTCAGGCGCTGCCCTGTGGACGACAGGGGCCTACCCGTGCTGGACCCCAGCTCTGCCGCTTGCCAGCTCCGTGGAGCAGGCTGGACGTGCCCCCAAGGACAGGTCTACCCGGAGCTGTGGACGCGGCCTTATTTGGAAAAAGGTCTTAGCAGATGGGATTAAACTGGGGACAGTCCAGGTGACGTCCTCCTGGCTTACCCAGCATCCTGAGTCTAGCCACGCATGTCCTGACTGGAGCAGAGAGGCAGAGGTCCTGCAAGGAGGCTGGACTCTGCTGGGAAGTGCCCCCCCGGTGCCCAGCCTCAGGGCTTCCCGCACGAGGGCTGCTCCGAGCCGGTGGGGCCCCTAGCACCCCGGTGCCACTACCATCTCCAGCTGCCGGATGGGCGAGGCCCACCCGAGGGCCCTCTGTGCCGATCCCTGCGTGAGGATGTGGCGCGGCACGGCCCAGCTGGGCTCGTTCGAACCACTCTGGAAGGGCCTTCTCTCCAGTGGACCTGCCGCCCCCCTGCACCCACGACCCCTGCTGCCAGCTCTCAGTGATGTCACGGTGGCCTCATGGCTACAGTGGGTAAGCCCTGGGGGGACTACTGGACAGACAGATGGGTCAAGCCACTGTGGGCCAGACTCAGTGTGAGAGTTTGCTCATTCATTTGCTCCTTTGCTCATTAATTTTTCCACCCGTCCATCCACCCGTCCATCTGTCCCCCCATCCACTCATTTGTCCATCCATCCATCCTTCCATCCACCCACCCATCTCTCCCTCCGTCCATCCACCTGTCCGTTCGTCCATCCATCCATCCATCCCTTCCTCCACCTGTCTGTCCATCCGTCCGTTTATCCGTCCATCCATCTACCTATCCATCCACCCAACTATTCTGAACATTTTTGGGGTACATGACTACAAATTTCAGAGTTGGCTGGATTTCTGAACCCTGGGAAGTGGAAGCCACAGCTCGACCAGGGAGGGACCTGCCCAAGGTCACAGAGCAAGCTGGTGGACGACTTACTCTGGACCTGACCCCTGCTAGGCTCTGTGCACTTGCTCTGTGTACTTCTGGGGTTCCCACCCCAAAGTCTCGTGTGTGTGTGGGGTCGGGAGGACAGTGAGGGGAGCCACCCCCGTCCCGCTCCCATCGGCAAGTAGCTCCAGGGCTAAGGAAGTCAGCGAGGAAGGGCCGCCCCACTGTCGGAGCCCCTCTCCGAACAGCTACGACACACCGCCTGGCGGCTGGTAGGACGATCTGGGCTGGGAGGTGCACAGGGGAGAGAACTGGGACCCATCAGCTGAGCTCGATAAGGGGCTCGCTGAAATGTTAGCAAAAATATTTAGACAATAAATGAAGTATCGGAAAGGCGCGCGTATCTTTAAGAAATCAATCATCATGTACGGTGTGTCTGGACACTCGGCGCCGACGCGCAGATAGCGCCTGCTGGGGAGATAAGGGTTAATCAAGGATTTAATTCTGCGGGAGATAAAGCTGCAGGGACGAGCAGACGAGGCTCCTTCCTCCCTCAGCTCCTCGGCCAGAGCCTCAAAGGCCACTGGCTTCCCTGGCGCTGGTCCCTCACTCCCCGTGGACATTATCTCCCTGCTGGAGAGCGTCTCCAACCTTTGCCAAGTCCCCCCAGGCTGACCCGCACCCCAGGCCCAAGGAGGACAAAGCCCTCAGAGAGGAGGGTGGGGTCTGAGGCCCTGAGGCCGAGTCAGCCCTGTCCTTACACAGCCTGCAGAGGTCTCAGCGTGGAATCCCCATCTGCTACTTGATTCTGACACCGTTACCAAGTCACTCAACCTGCTGGAGACTCAGCTTCCTCCTGTGTGGTGGGGAGTACGCGGACACGGCGCGGGCAGAGAAGACTGGGGCCATGCGTGAGGAGGGCGCACTCGGTGTGTGCAGGGAGCGACACCTGCCTGTCCCGGAGGGACGGAGTGTCTCCAGAGTGGGGAGCAGGGGAGAGGGGCAGGCCACACACAGGCGCACCCCTTTATCTTATCAGTGCTTCCGAGAACTCAGACGGGGAGCTCTCAGCCTACACACTCCTCCTCCTAGCCGTGGACTGCCCCTTAACAGCCCACCCTCTGAAAAGTCAACTCCTGCTTACATGCCTCCAATGATGGGGAGCTCACTGCTTCAAGAGACTGCTCGGAACACCAGAGTCTCCGTTCTCTCTGCGGAGCCAAAGTCTGCCTTGTGGTTGCCACTGATTTTTCCCTGCTTGGGCCATGGGACGGGAGGGCCAGCTGTCCTGTGCACTGGTGGTAAGCACCGTGCAGGCACCGTCTCATCTACCTGCCCTGGGAGGCGGGCATGCCACCAGCTGCCCCACTTTGCAGACGAGCTGCAGCTCTGCCACCCTGTCCTCTGCAGGGACGTTGGAGGGTCTGCAGGCTCAGGCCCCACGGACCCTTCAGGGCCCCCTTGTGTCCCCACTGCAGCCCCACAGGCTCAGGAGCAGAAGCTCAAGGAGCTCAGGACCCTGCCCGGGAGCAGAACAGCCACGGGGAGGAGGTGATGGGCTCCGGACCCTGTGCCGTGGGGCCAGCCTGCTCCCGGGGTGGGAGCCCTCAGTCCTGCCGGCCCCCTACTGCACGGCCAAGGCCAGCACGCGTTCCCCTGCCCAGGTGCTCCGCCATGATGGGCGGCGTGGGTGGCCCCGGGGGCCCTTGGCCAGGCTGCACGTCTAGATCCTGAGAGACCACCTGGATCCCTGGAGCCAGGCCCCAGCCCAGAGACTCTGACGCACGTGGGCACTATGGACGGTGGTCCGAGGGCCTGCGGCTGGGCACTCCCCGGGCAGCTCCCCACCAGCCCCACGGACACCGCTGCAGGCCGAGTCCCCGCGCCCTGGTTTCCGCGGCTGAGAAGCGGGGCTTCTGTTGGACTGCAGCTGGGTGGAGCTGCTCGGGCAGCACCCGGTCTCTCTACGTGGGGGAACCCTGCTCTGCAGCCCCGCCACTGCCTGAAACCACATGGAGGCTGACCAGAGGCCCACACCTGGGGTCTGAGGACCAGGAGGCCCGGCACTGAGGGGCACCCACCAGCCAGGGTGCACCTGGGTCAAGTCGCACCTGAATGCGACATCGGGAATCAGAAAGGGCCCAGGCTGTGGCTGCCCGTCTGGGGCGCCTGAGCCCGGGCTAGAGGGGACCCACCCAGGGGGCCTCCTGGCCTTTCAAGCGAGGGGCAGCAGGGCGAGGAGAGGTTTCTGGAATACGCGTCACGGGCTAGCCCCTCCTGGTTCTGGTTCTACTGCACACTGTGCATTTGGCCATTGTCTCCCAGACACTAGTGCCCTGTCTTCACCAGAGTGTATTTTAGAAGGAGCTTTTGTACCGTGCGAGAGGACGCAGACCGACTTCCGTAAGAAAGCACTAACCCCGAAGCGAGTGACCCTCTTGTGGTGGCGGTCGGTGGGAGGGCGCCGCCCGGGTGGGCTTCTTAGTGACACAGACGGGTCATAAGTGCTGAGGACGTGAAGACCCTGGGGCACCAGAAGGACCCCCAGAGACGAACTGAACCTCAGCGTCTCTGCTGCTGCGGTCCCCAAGCTCCGGGAAAACCACCTCACTTGTCCCTGCCCACAAAGGCCAGGTCCAGCCCCACACTGGGCTCCTTGTCGCCTCCCTACTCCAAACACGTGTCTCTTTTCTCTGTCTTGCCAACTTCTACTCATTCATTAAGGGCCTTCTCCAAGAAGCCCTTCCTGTGTCACCTCCTCCAGGAAGCCTTCCTTGTGCTCCCAAGCAGTCAACTCCTTCCTACCCTCCCAGTCCCAACACCTCAGGCCCACGTTCCCCGGCGCCGTGTGCACAGAGGGGCAGGCGCTCCGGGGCCAGAGTGTAACCAGGGCTGGGCTCTCACAGCTGAGGGGGTCTGTGCCCCGGGCCGGCCTCTGCCCAGGCTGCTGTCCTGCAGCTGGAGGGTGGGTGGCTGGGGTTGGGGCTCCTTACCGGCTCCAGCTGCCCGGGCGACGAGACCTTGCTGTGCACGTTCCCATGGAAGGGGCCCCAGGACAGGCCCTCGGCGAGGCTGTGCCGAGCCCTCACGCAGCTCTGCCCGTCCTTCCACAGTAGCTCCAGCTCATCTGTGGAGAGAAGCAGCGGGGAGTGAGGCGTGCCTGCCGCAGTGACCACCCAGCCCCGCCGCTGGCCCGGCGCACTCCAGCTCTGCAGCCCCAAGCCCACCGGGAGCAGCTGCCAGGACTGGGGCACCCCGGGGGCCTGTGGTCCTGGGGGCCGGGCCGACCCCTGCAGCAAGCCCTTGTCTGGGGGCCGCAGGGGACGGGTCGGGGTGCCTGCAGCCGGATCTGAGCCCGGGGGGGCCACGGCTGCTCTGTTAGGACATGTGTCTCCTGCGGCACACGGGGGGCACACAGTGGAGGGTGCCAACATCGGTGAGGCTGGCCTCTTGGTCCCCCCTCCGCACAGTCCTCCCAGCCCCTCCCCACTGGCTTGAGGCCCCCCCCCCAGACCCACAGAGCAAGCCTGTGACGGCAGCTGGGAAAATGCTTCCCCGAGACTTCCTGCCTCCTTGGGCTGCATGAGGCCTGAATGTGTGAACCCACCAACACGCTTGGCACAGCTCGCAGAGCAGAAACCAAGTCAAAGAGCCACGTACCACCCCAAGGCCCTGGGCAAAGCCAGAGTCTGCCCCTGGGGGGCCCTGGTGTTGGCTCCGTTCACTCCCTGCAGATGGGCAGGGACGGGGACCCCAGAATGCTGCTGCCGGGACCACCACTCACGTTCTGGAAAGGCCTGGGCCCTGAGTCTTGCTGCCTCACTGCAAGGCCTCTCCTCGATGAGGATCTGAGACGCTTGGGGGCTGTGGCCGCCTGTGCCACGCAGGGAGGGGGGCTGCAAACCCTCCAGGCACCAAGAGCTCCTGTGGCCCGGCAGGGCCCCGGGGCACGGGTAGGAGGGCCAACACAGGGCATGGCTGCATTTCTACAGACAGACGGGCCTCTGCTGTGAGTCCCTGAGACCGTCATTCTCCCCAGGGTGGGACTTGGGGTGGGACAGGGTCTGGAGTCAGGCTCCTGGGTTCAGCCAGCCTCCCCGCACGGTCCACAGGACCATCTATGGGGGCTGGACACTGGCACCTAGAAGATCCATCTGCCTAGAACTAGTGAACGCGCCCTTATTTGGAAAAAGGGTCTTTGTAGACGTAATCAAGTTAGGAGGCTGAGAGAAGACCCTCCTGGATTAACTGATGGGACCCTAAACTCAGTGACAGACATCCCTACAAGAGACCCAGAGAAGAGACGGAGAAGGCAGAGACCAGAGTGACGGGGTCAGGAGGAAGCCGGACCCTAGGCCCTGGAGCTGGGGGAGGCAGGAAGGACCCTCCTCCCCCACTGCCCCAGGAGCCTCCAGAGGGACACGGCCCTGGCCCAGCCCTAGGAGGGAATAGATTTTTGAGGTGTTAGGGCCCCAAGGTTGTGTGCGTTTGTTGGGGCAGGCCTGGGGATTCTTTGCACTCCCTAAGCCTCTGTGTCCTCCTGGGACGAGGGGACAGGCAGTCGCGCCCTCAGAGGGCAGTCCCTTCCTTGATCCCACACCCTCTGCCCAGGAAGGCTGGGCTATCTTGTACCTCGGGTGCCACCCGGGCTGCCTGGGCCCACGGAGGCCTCACGTGGCCTGGCCTGGTCCCCAAGCAAGCGCTGTGGCGGCGGCCCCACTTCCTGGAGCCCCATCGGGCAGGCTGTGGCCTTAATGGGCCTGATTATCAGATAACTGCCGGCCTAATGGCAGAGATAAGGTGTAAATACGCCAGGAGGCCCAGCTAAAACGTTCTAACTGGGCCCTTGTCTTCCCTGGGGCAGATAAGATGGCAGGGACCAGAACCAGGCTGGGGAGGCCTGCACCCCATCATCAGCCCCCTGGAGAAGGGGGCAGAGACTGGCTCTGTCACTTTGCAGCTCGCCCACCAGGGTCCACATCCCTTGCCAGTCCACCCAGGACACCTGGGCCCCAGCCCAGGGCATTGCCCACGGGCCACCCCTCCCTGGCCCTGCAGGGCTCATCCTCAGGGACTGGAGTGTGACCCAGCCGGCACAGTCACCCACCCCAACTCCAGCCAATTAAGTCCGCCTTCTCCTTACACCCCTTACAGGTGAGGACTGAGGCCCCAAGAGGTCACGCAGCTGGCAGGGGCTGGCAGGATCTGAACCCGGGCCCCCTGGCTCTAGACGCTGAACCAGGGCCCTGGGTGTATGTGGGTCTCTGGTTCCCTACCTGGCTGGCCCTCAGGGGACCAGCATATGTGAGGGAGGGGATGAGGAGGAGAAGGCTGCCTAGAGGCAAGCTTGCTGGGGACTCATTTGTCCGTCCACCCGTCTGTCCAGCTGTCCGAGGCTGGTGGGGAGCCCACGATGGGCTGAGCCTGTGTGCCGCAGCCCCGCTCCCCAGATGCTGGCGGGGGGTCACGGGGGAACCGTCCAGTGCCCTCATGCTGTGGCCAGCTCCTCTGCAGGCTCCCAGAAACCTCGAAGCAACCAGGGGGTGGCTTGTCCTTGGACCCTTGAGCAGGGCTGGCCGTACGCCTCTCTGGACGGCATTTTACCTGCCGGGTCCCCATGAGAGAGGGACAGTGACCGGGAGCCCCTCCATTCCCACCTCATTCTCCATCAGTGTCCAGATGTCCTGGAAGGAGCCCATTCCCGGCCTCGTTGGGCACGGAGCCCCCATCAGGAGACGACACCTTCCACCTGAGGCAGGGGGCCCGCCTTCCTGTGGGAGGAGCCACTGAGAATCCAGCGTGTGGGGGGCTGGCCCGGGGGTCCCTGAGGGCGGAGGAGGAGTGGGGGGGCAGCCCCGGGCTTCCCAGGTTTTCTGTCTTGAGGCCCTGGCCTCATGCTGATGGAGGGAAGGAGCCAAGCCAGTGAGCCTCCCCCCACCCCTGTGGGCGCCCACAGCCAACAGCCCTGCTCCCTAATCGGAACCCCAGGGCTGGCCAGCCGAGCCTCCCAGATAACAGCGTGGCTGGTGCTTCCCATGGCGGCCACTCCATCTTCTGGGTATCGTGCCCTGCCAGAGGGAGGGCTGGTTCCCGATAAAGGCTGCCATTCTGCAGGCCTCCGGGCAGAGCCCGGCACTCAGGCCTGGCGGGGGGCTGCTCGAGGGAGAGGGGAGGAGGCCAGGGAGCCGAGGAACTTGGGCTGGGGATAGGGCCATGCTCACCACAAAAACCCACCTTCCTGCTTCAGGGAGGCGGGTTCTGAGGGGCTGTGCATTAGGAAGGGTGGCCCCTTGGGTGCATGAAGGGCGATGGTAGGTACTTGGCTGGGTGAAGGGAACATGGCTGGATCTCAGCCCCAGCTCACCCAGAGCCCTTGTCACAGTGTACAACCCAGGCAACTGTACATGGTGGCCCTGGCAATGTTCAACATCCACCTACTCAGATAACCTATTTCTAGCAAACAGTTCCTGTCCAACCTCTTGCGTAGTGGAAAGATGGTCAGGCAGTATTTGAGCCCAGTTAGCACCTACCAGAGACCCTCTCATACCCAGAAGCAAAACTGCATCAGGAAAGTGGAGGTGGGTGGGGCCACCGGGGCCACCCACTCCCCGCGGGCTGGGAACCTCGAGAGGGTTCAGCTGAAGGCCAAGAATGACTAAAAGTGTAGATGAGTGAGGGCGAGGGGCAAAAGGGTGGGAGACGCAGAGCTGATGGTGGGGGGTGGGGGTACTGACAGGCAGGAAGACCGTTTCAAACAGCCTCTAATAGCCAGCGGACCTGTGGTGGCCGGAGGGCCGGCTCCCAACCACACAGAAGCCTGGGGCCATGAGCACCCTAGCCACACTGCAGGCTCTCTGTACTCGGGACTCAGTGCTCACTCAGTCCCAAAGCCCCGCACGGGCACCTGGCACAGGCACGAGGGAGACACGGCCTCTGTCCTCTACATCTCCTAGGAGACCTGGGGAGTGGCAGCCCGGAGGCTGGGCCAGCTGGGGTGGGCTTCCAGATGGAGGTGTCCTTCTCCCTGACACCCTCCTGTGGTTCCTGTCTGCTCTCTTTTCCCAACTCGGGGCTGGTCCTGGCCTCCGTCCCCACAGGGGGTCACAGGGGTGATGCCATGTGCCCCGAGAACACATTATCCCGACATGATTCCCAGCCCCCATGTATCAAGCCTTAGCCTCTCGCCTTGCACAGCCACACTGAAGCTCTTCCCCCAGTGTACAGCGGGGGAAACCCAGGCTCGGAGGGGTTAAGCTACCGGCCTAAGACCCGCGACGGAGAGGTGAGACGTGAGCCCCAGCCCCAGCCACGCTCACGGCCAGGTCCCTGACACCCTTTTTGGGGCTGATGCAGAAGGTGGCAGAAAGACGGGGACGCCCCTGGAGGGGAGGTGGGTGCATGGGGCAGGCTGACGACTCCTGCTCTGTCCTCAGTCTCCCCTCTGTCCTGGTCTCCTCCTCTTCTGTCCAGGCCCCCATGGAGGTAGGGCTATCACTACAGATGCCACATCAGGACCAAGACTAATTTATCCTGGCAAACAACCTCACACACGTTACTTCCAGAACAAACACGTTGCGCAGGATTCAGTTTTGCCCCTAAGCATCTGTGATGAGCCGAGGCCAGGATTCAGGCCTCATATTTATAGGACTGAAATTTAAAAGTCAGCTTAGGTGGGGCGCCTGGGGGGCTCAGTGGGTTAAGCCGCTGCCTTCGGCTCAGGTCATGATCTCGGGGTCCTGGGATTGAGCCCCGCATCGGGCTCTCTGCTCAGCGGGGAGCCTGCTCCTCTCTGTCTGCTGCTCTGCCTGCTTGTGATCTTTCTCTGTCAAATCAATACAAAATCTTAAAAAAGTAGTCAGCCAGAGCCCTCTGGCAACACCCCAGAGGAGGTAGGGACGAGTGCTGCCACTTCTGGGGCCCCGATGGAGGGGGTAGCCGGGTAAGAGACCTGGGGTCTGGAATCAGCAGGCCGGGGCTGGGTCCCGCCTCTGCCCAGCACCTGCTGGCCTCAGTTTACCTGCTGGGCCGGTAGCGGTGAGGGTAAAGGCGAGCGTGTTCGTCTGGGAGGCCAGCACGGCTCTCCGTCCCTGGGCCGTCCCGGGTCGTGGGGCCCAGCCCAGGGTGGCC